TTTCGGACTTTATTTTATCTTCACGGTGAAAATGGCTACCGAATGCTATTATTGTGTGAAAATTCTCGATTTTATTTTTTACATTTTTAACTTTATAATGCTATGACATATTGAAAAGTGTATGGATCAACATTATTTTTTTATGAGAAATAATATTTTTTAATAATCCCTTTTTCATTCTACATACTTTATCTTAATTAGGATATTAATAATGAACTAGCAGATCATGTAGCTTTTGGAATAGTCCACCAATTTTATAAAATTAAACAGTATCTAAAGATTTAGTGATTTTAATCACTGTCAGATATCATTATACTTAATCCATCTATACCACGTCACCACTGTGCCGCGACCCCCCTGTGCTGCGTTTTTTAATAACGTTATTCTATTTTTGTGTGAAATATTATAATATTATTTCATTTTTGTACTTCATACATTTTATTTAATGTTATTTGTCAGGGCATAAGTATTATTTTGTTATACATATTTTTAGATAAATTAAATTAATATACTTAATTTTATTCATATATAATTGTTTTAAATTTTTTAAACTCATAGTACATTAGTTTTGAATATCAATTAATAAAAAAAATATATCACAAGATATTTCTACGCACCAATAATGTATAATTTTAGGTAATTAATTAAATGTGATAGTTTAGATAGTAACATTCTATTACGCTTAATGATAAAAATTACTTAATGTTAATTTAAGTTAAATGATATATTTTTGAATATTTTATATTTAACAGTATTTTTCGTTTTTTTGATACAATTTTATTTATTGTTCGTATATAGACTGTTCAGTAAGTATGGAAACGGGAATCTAATGTTTTCATTGTTTATAGCAATTGACCTGTTTCCTTATTTATTGAACAACCTGTATAGAAATATAATGTTTGTGAGTCCCGTTAAAAAAATATCATGTGTAATTAATTAAAAACAAGACCAAAAGAATGGATAGACAATTATTTTGTGACTAAGTAGTTCTAGATCAAATGTATTTCATATCTGTAGTATTAAAAATTCTTGTTTTTTTTTTTATTTCTACATTTCAGTTTCTATGTACATCAGTGGTAAAAGTCTTTAAAAAACATCATGCCAAAAATCTATTAAAGGTTCAAACAATATTGTGTTATTGTTATACCACTGACTGGACAACCACCTTGACCGGAGCATCCAGAATTTTGGCTTCGATGGACATGACTTAGATATTAGATGAGCTATTAATGACAATATTTTTTTTATTACTCGTAAAACATAGGTAAATTTATTAATAACTAATCACAGTAATAATGAAACTAATATACCAATATTATTATACAAATTATACAAGTATTTGTATATTAACCATATAAATCCAACATGGTTACTGCGTTTATTCCGTCCTTAATATCATGGAGTTGGTCGGCTGGCGGTATCCAAAACTAACCTTACTACAAAACAGTAATTACGGACCTCAGCTGTGGATTCTCAAGTTGAGATACATCGTTATAGAATCGTTTAGCACAAGCGCCAGACTGGCTCGCCGGCCGCAGTGACGCGCATCACCTCTGGTCGTATCAACCGGCAGTTGACGTTAGTGACGCTACACTTGATCGACGACCAAATATTTCTATAAAATTCTAAAATAATGATTTCAAAACTGCTTTGATACCTATAAAATGATCCTTGTTCAAGTAAAAACGAACATATAACATTTACTTTTCAAAGTTCAGTTTACAAGTTTAAAATTAAGTGCACTTAATTAATTTAGAGAATTTTTAGTTATTCTGATGATTTAATTTTATAATTTTTAATACATTTTAATTGATGTTTCTTTACTAAAATTTTGTTGAAATCGTAATGATAAGAAAGTACTTTATGTAAATCTCACTTCAATATAAATTATTTAATACTGTTTATTTAATTTAAATCTCTTAGAGTGTATTTTTCTTTTTAATAGTTAAAAAACAATAAAATATTTTTCTAATATGTATGTTTTCAAGTTCTATTTTTGGAAATATAAAAAATAATATAATCCTTCAATGTATTTTACTTTAAAATGTTATTATGATAATTACTTTTAGCCCACTATGCTCACTTAGACAAATGTGTTAACATAATTAACAATAATAGTTTAACTAAAAATTATGTAATACTTAGAAATAAAATAATACAAATTAAGTTCCAAATGATACACAAATATTTTAACAAAAAAAAATTACTTTTTAAAAATTATATTGCATACATTAAATGTTATTTTAAAGTTTAATGATAAATGTTTCATTAGTAAAGAATAATATATGTATCAAGAAACTTAAATATTTCAGTCGAAAAGTTATATCGAATACAGTACACACTTATTACACATTACTTAATTTATAATTCTATTTAGTATCCGCTGAAATTTTAAATGAACTTTACTTTTGTGATAAAATATGATGAAGTATATAAAATGATAATAGACTGAAAAATTGAAATCCCTACTTACATTTTTAAAATACCAAACAAATCAATATTTGTATCGGTATTACGATTTGACAGTATTTATAATTATGTAGGAATGTAATTACTAGTATACCAACTTTATCGGTATTTTCAGTGATAATAGAATAAACGATAATAACCGAAGTA